AAGAAGATACAGATGATGACGATGGCTTCGATGACGTGCTAAAAGAATCATTCTTCGATATCTCTTAACGTATTGCAGCTAAAAAACTTACTCTAAAGAAGACTTGTGACCAACGGAAGGATTGACTGTTGTCTGTTTTTGCTCCACAAGTCGCCTGCCATCAAACAGCATTATCCGGGCGAAGGGAGCTAAAATAATTAACTGTCTGAAAATCACAGCGAACAGAAATTTGTCTTACCGTTATTGTACGGCAGTGCCTTAGCTCTTTTGACCGTGGCAGTGACAAATTGGACTTGAGGAGCATAGGTAAGGATTGTTAACAGTTCGCAGTCATTGTCCGACGAGCTCTAAAAATTTTTTTCCATAACATTTATTCCATAAACAGAATCAACAAGAGATTTTCATGCCAATTTTGCAATTCGAAAAATCATGTAACGCGTATTCAAAGACAACAGCGCTTTCCGCTTAGGAAAAAGCACGTATTGCTGATCCAAGTTTCGGTATTTTCCCAAAATGATATTTTTTTACAAATGACGCTAAAGCTGGATGTATACCTTGCTGGCATTATATGCCATTTGGAACTCAAGGTCATCGGCGCTGATTCGAGAAATTCTCTCAGGAAGCGTCTCTTCTTCCGTCTGAAAGTTTACTCAATTTTATTCCAACATAAACATAAGACCTTGCAGACTATTAAAACTGTGAAAAAATAAGATTCTAATTATGTTAATTTCATTTTTTTTTATGTTACCTCAAGCACTCGATCTTCAAGTTCGCTATCGAACACCGTCCTTTGGCCGGGATCCTCGTTGGAGAGGAACTTCGTCCAAGCGTCTTTATGTGGAGCAACTTTCTCTTCTTTCAGTTCTAAAGTAGCATTTTAGTTCATAACTTTGAACAACGATTTTAACATTAGCTTATGTATCAAAAAAGATCTTTCTGGTATTTAATCAGTGTGCTTCTGCAGGTCTCACTTGGACTGTTAACTGCTTCCCTTTCCAACCCGAATTCTACAGTAGAACTGAAGGCGATACAAGACTTACCTCCATGGCGATCTCCCCATTCCCTGTGTTCATGCTTTGCAGCTCGACCATGTTTGGTGCCATTAGGTCGTGGATCCCTGAAATCAATTTTATGAGACTAAATAATTCTTCCTAAAGTGATTCTAGTCCTCCTGAAAATGCAGCCAAAGAAAAATCATAGAGAAAAAAGGTAAAACCTCACCGATGCACTCGGTTTGCTCTAGCTGCAGGCGCAGGTTGATTTTTGCCTGCTCGATTCATATTTTTTGGTGCCCACCCTGACGATGGATCAGCTCCGGCTTGGGATGGTGGCTAAAACACCTCAGATTTTCCTTGTATTAAGCTTGAAATGTATTTTTTCAATGATCTTTCAAAAGAACCTCCCACTGTGAGACAAATCATCCTTTATTTCACATTTTTTTCATTGCCTTCCAAAAAAATCATATTTTCTCCCATAAAAATTGTCCCAAGCTAATTCAAATGGACTGACTGAGCTAAAGTTCCGTCTGCTTGAATTTTAGTCTTTCGTAGTACTCAGTCCAATAACTGCATAATGGCAGGAAACTCCCAGCTCCGCTACGGATATCCTGCTGCCATTTCCAAGACCACTTTCAACAATTACAGACCAGGTTAAGGTCATTATTCCAAAGATTTGTACGTTCTCTGACCAAAAAGTAACGTAACTGGAGTAATACTAATGAACATCCACCAGAGTTCAGATTTCTACAAGCTGAACTTTCAAAATATAATTAAGCAGTTCTCTAGGA